ACTCGTGGGTGCTTGTTATTTGCAAGTTCATTAGACTGACTCACTAGAGGATTCCATATAGATGGTAACCCTAGTGTTTATGGAATATATCCTCTAACAGGTGGTGATGCATGTGATCCTTAGTCTTGATCATCACCAGAGTGCCGTGTGTAAATATTGGTGTTATTTGACACTAGCCTCATTTAATCCTATTTAGGGTTATCAGTACAGTAGTGGTTGGTTGCATTGAAAAGTACACTATGGCTACAGTGGATTGACAAAATATTCATCACTTTTGGGTATGTAGCCTATTTGGAATTTGACACTAGCCTAACATAGTCCTGTTTTTTGTTATATTTCACACCTTTTATTCTATTAAAAACCCTACATATAGTGTGGTATGTGTTAATGTATAAGTGTTTAGTGGCAAGAATTAGGTAGTGTTTAAGTGTAAAGTATGGTGTTTAGACTTAAATGATGTAAAAAGAGCTTAAATTTCAAAACTAGCATAATAGAGTTTTTTCAACCAAATTAATGCAAAAACCAGTAAGAGGAAAATGCAATAGATATGAAGTGAAAACTAACTCACCAACCCAAGCTCTGATACCGCTTGATATGATTTCACCAAATTTGAGTGAGTCTAAACCGAATTACATGGCAAGGAATGAACAATTCACTACAAACCAATTTATCTCTACACTTGCTCAACAACTCCAATAGCCGAACAAACAACACAACAATACAAATGCAAACACAAACAAGCCACAATCCCAAGGCATAAAGGCTGAGCCACCGGCCAAGGGTTCCCTAAAACGTAAAGGCGAGGCCACAAGTTTTAGGATCCACCACCAAGTTTGCAAGAACTTGGATAAAGGATAGGGTTGAACTCTTTCTCAAGAGAACTTAATTTTCATTCATAAAAACTAGAGCATTACAATGGAGAATTTGGCCTCACATATGGCCTTACAGAATGATGCTTAAACAAGATGAAATCTAAGCCCTTCAAAGGCATCTAAGCAAAACATAACATAATCATGGTCTTACATGTGGCAGCCAAACTTAATACAAGTCAAACACAATTAAGAAGATTACATTGGAAAGGGAAAAAGGCTATTCTAGTATTCATTAAACTAAACAAAATAGGAATCATCAATATTTCTTTACTTTCCTAAAGAGGAAATGGACAATAAGCCACCAAGAGGAGACAATCTTGTCTTTGTCGAAAATGGAAACACCGAGCCACATTTGTCATAACCTTGTCTCTATAATTAAATGGTCCCATGTGATTATGTTTGAACACCAATTGAGGTGGTATACCTAGTTCCCTTAAAAGAAAATTACACCTAAATGATGAAATTGGGCCTAAGGAATGGATTGGACTTATCTTGTACCAAGTAAACTCACCTGACATAGTTTTTCCTTCTTGGGTCTAACCTTTGCAATTGCCTTGTTTTACATCTTTAACTTGGATCGAATGGTCTTCAATTGCTTGGATGCTTTTTCCTTTAGCTTTCTCTTGATCTTTATGAAGATTAGTTGACAAATTTGCATCATCTTCATTGTAGGGGTACTTAAAATGGGTGATTTGGTCATTTCAGTGTATTACAGTAAGGAATGGAAAACTATGGCCGATAATTCACTTGGTTATTGAATATGAAACTCTTTCTTCAAAATGAAAACAATAAAAACTATTTAATTTTTCTTTCTTTATTTTTTTTTTGGTGCATTTGAACTTTTAGAAAAAAAAAAAAAAAATTAACACAAACAAGACGAAGCCCTAAATATTTCATTTAAAATTTCCCTTAAATTTATATTTGTTTCAGTATTATTTCTAAAAACTTTATCCAAACCTTCACTGCATAATAAAACTAACTTTTTAGTGTCCTCTTCCCCTTTTAAGTATTTCATATCCATGCCCATATCTTCTATTAGGTAAGCTTAAGATTAAAAGAGAAAATAATTATAAATAGGGGTGGAAAAAAAAACCAGAAAACCGAACCGGTCCGAAAATCTGATTTTTTTTTTCGGATTCGGTTCAATTTATTAGAAAAACCGAATATCCAGTTCGGTTTTGGCTTTTTCTCAAATTAATTCCGATTACTTGAAACCGGTTTGGTAAACCAGATTTTAAAAAAAAAATATATGTTTTACATTTTTGGGTTTTTGGGATTTTTGCAATTGCAATCCCTAACTCTCACTCTCACTTTCTTAGTTCTCACACCTCAGCCTTAGGTACACAAATTTCTTAAAATTTTTGCTCTTAGCCACCAATTTTTTGCTCTCCATTCTTCACCTAGTCGCTGTTGTCGCTCCAATCTCCACTCTTTGTCGTCACTCCAATCCAGTCAGGCAGTCACGTCGTCGTTTGTTTCCAGTTTCCAGTCATCTCTTTGCTCTATAAGTTTTTTGTGGATTGTGTTTTCTTTCTGAGTTTAATTGGTTCTTTCTCCTTTGATTTGTATTTTTTTCTTTGGTTGTGTAATGTGGAGGCTGGAGGGTGTTTGATTGTTTGTGGTTCTTTCTCCTTTGATTTGTATTGTTTTCTTTGGTTGTGTAATGTGGAGGCCGGAGGGTGTTTGATTGTTTGTGGTTTTTGCCTACTAGTTAGTGTTGACAAACTAGGAAACTTCAAGCCCCGTAATGTTGTAGTTACCCCTTACTGCCTACTCTTTTTTTCCTTCTTTGGTCAGAGGAAAAGGTTTATCTCGTATTGTTTTCTTTGGTTGTGTAATGTGGAGGCCGGAGGGTGTTTGATTGTTTGTGGTTTTTGCCTACTAGTTAGTGTTGACAAACTAGGAAACTTCAAGCCCCGTAATGTTGTAGTTACCCCTTACTGCCTACTCTTTTTTTCCTTCTTTGGTCAGAGGAAAAGGTTTATCTCGTATTGTTTTCTTTGGTTGTGTAATGTGGAGGCCGGAGGGTGTTTGATTGTTTGTGGTTTTTGCCTACTAGTTAGTGTTGACAAACTAGGAAACTTCAAGCCCCGTAATGTTGTAGTTGGCCCTTACTAGAGGTGGAAAATTTGGGCCGGGTTAGGCGGGTCAACCCTAACCTGGCCCGGGAAAATGAGGGTTAATCCCGGACCGCCAAGATGGCGGTCCGGGTTGACCCTAACCCGGCAGCAACCCCCGGGCGGGCCGGGTTGCACAATGGCAACCCGCAACCCGGCGGGTTGCTATTTTGTCTCTTTTGCAAGAGACCCGGCAACCCGCCAGCGGGTTGGCCGAAAAAAATAAAAAAAAATAAAAATTTTTATTTTATTTTTCAAATTACCCCTTTACCCTTGAAATATGGCCGTTTTATAGCCGTTGAAAGGGTCTTTTTCGTCATTTCTCTTTCCCATTTTTTCCTATAAATTGGCCCTAAGTTCTCATTTTTCTCACAACTCAAATTCTCTCATTCTCTCATATTCTCTAATCTCTAATCTCCCAATTATTCATTTATTAGTTTTTGCAATTTGCTCATATTTTAATTTTTATTAGTTTTTGTAATTTTTAATTCATATTTCCAATTTTCCAAATTCCAATTTCCATACTCCAATAAGTCTAATTTTTCTTATATTATAATTTTATTGTATCAAAATTGAATTAATATTTGAAATGTTAACAAACAAAAAAATTGAATTGAATTATTGATATTAGAAAAGTTAATTAAAAACAATTATATTTATAATTATTTATTTGAAAAGTTAAATAAAAAAACAAAAAAACAAAAACAAAAAAAATCGGGCTAACCTGGCCCAACCCGCCACCTAACCTGGCGGGTTAGGGCTGGCGGGCCGAGCTGGGCCAGCCATTTTGGAGAAAATGGCGGGCCTAACCCGGCCTGCCTTTATTGGCGGGCGGGTTAGGCCCGGCCCGCCAAACAAAGTAACCCGCCGCGGGCCGGGCCGGGCGGGTTACTTTTCCACCTTTACCCCTTACTGCCTACTTTTTTTTTTCCTTCTTTGGTCAGAGGAAAAGGTTTATCTCACCTTTTGTTCTACATTATCCTCAACCCACCACACCAATTGGATTAATAATAATAATAATAATAATAATAATAATAATAATAATAAATAAATAAATAAATAAATAAATAATGCATGGATTAGGACATACCAACTAAAAACATAACTAATGACACTTATACGCCTACACCAAGACCACTAATACCTTTAGCTCCCAAACGTGCGAAATCTACCATTAGTGGGAAGAATAATGAGAAGTGGGATCGCTTCACAAAAAATGAGTATGAGAATAAAGATGATTTGACTGCAACATGTAACTATTGCGGGAATGTTCTTGCTTGTCCAAGTAAAAGTGGTACAAGTTGTCTACCTAATCACTTAAGTTAGTGTAAAAAGTATCCTCTGAATGTGGTGGACAAGAGACAGAAGACGTTATTCTTTCAACAAGCATCACGTGAGCTCTCAAGTGATGCTACCACCTCTACACAATCTTCATTGTTGTCATGGAAATTTGATTAGAGAAACTATTGCCCAAATGATCATTATCGATGAGCTGCCGTTTAATTTTGTGGAGCGTGAGGGGTTTCGTTGTGTGATGACTGTGGCACAGCCTAGGTTTCAAATGCCCTCTCGTAAGACTGTGGCTATAGATTGTTTCAAGATTTTTATTGAAGAGAGTGAAAAGGTGAAGAAGTTTTTTAGTAAGTTCAATCACACAATTTGTCTCACCACTGATACATGGACAAGTTGTCAGAACCTTAACTGTATGTGTCTTACAGCTCACTTCATCGATGACGATTGGCAACTACACAAAAGGATTTTAAACTTTTGTCTTATAAGTAATCATAAAGGTTTAATCATTGGGAAGGTAGTGGAGAGGTGCTTGCTTGATTAGGGTATTTCTAAAGTATTCACAATAATAGTCGACAATGCAAGTTCTAATGATGTGGGTATAAGCTACCTTAGGACTCGGTTAGCAAGTTGGCAGGGAAATGTCTTGAGTGGTCAGTTTCTTCACATGAGATGTTGTGCACATTTACTAAGTTTGATTGTAAGGGAGGGGTTAAAAGATATGGATGACTCCATATTTAGAACTCGTGTTGCAGTGAGGTATGTGAGGTCTTCTCCAACAAGGTTAATGAGATTTAAGGAGTGCATGGAAAAAGAAAAAATTGAAAGTAAGAATCATTTGGTGCTTGATATAGAAACAAGGTGGAACCCTACTTACTTGATGTTGGATGCCGCAATTAAATTCCAAAAAGCATTTGACTTATTGGAAATAGACTATAGTAAGTACAAAGATGAGCTTTCTAGTGGGCACAAGTCAAGGGGTTTGCCTACTTATAGTGATTGGGAATATGCCCGGTACTTGTTACCCTTTCTGAAAATTTTCTATGATGCTACCGTATGTGTGTTCGACTCTTTTTACGTTACTGGTAATGAGTACATGCGAGAGATATATGACATTGGGATGAAGATTTCAGAATGGTCTCATAGTCATGATCTTAACTTAAGTTCTACAGCGGTAAGAATGAAGGGAAAATTTGACAAATATTGGTCAAATGTTGATAATATCAATATAATGTTATTCATTGCGGTTGTTCTGGATCCTAGGGACAAGTTAGAATATGTTGATTGGGTGATTGGTGAGTCCTATGATGCTTTTGCTACTGATAAGTTAAAGAAAAAAGTGATGGAAACTTTGCTGTCTTTATTTAACCATTACGATTTGTGTAAGGTGGCTAGGGGTCTTACTACGCAGTCAAGTCAACAATCTCCAAGTGCAAGTGCACTTGATGATTGTGATGTTGATATTGATCCTCAAGAATACATGAGGGTTAAGTTTAAAAAGCGAAAGGCTAGAAACCAAGCTAATCAGCCTAAATCAAAGTTGGATGAGTATTTAGTGGACGACCTTGAAGATGACAACGACAAGACATTTGATCTCTTGAAATGGTGGAAGATGAATTCAACAAAATATCAAGTTCTCTCTTTGATGGCACGAGATGTATTGACTATGCATAATTCAATTGTTGCATCTGAGTTGGCTTTTAGTACGGGGGGTCATGTATTGGATCCATTTCGTAGCTCCCTTACTACGAAAATGGTGGAGGCTCTTATCTGCACACAAGATTGGATTCAGACTACGTGTGCACCGTTAGCCATTGAGGAGACCTTGGATGAGTTAACGAAAATTAAGTCGGGTAAAATTTTTGCTTTTACTTTCAATTATTTAATTATGTCTTTGTTGGATTTGTTAATTATACTTTCAATTTTTCAATTATGTGTTTGTCCAACTTTTTGTAGAATTTCCATCTTTAAGAATAGAAAGTACTCATCCTCAACTAAATGATTGAAGGGTAATCCAAATTTCCAATAACGAGCTACATACTATGACTTTATGTAGTTTCATTTGTTCTTCTATTTACTAATTTGTAGATTTGATTGGACAAACTTATAAAAAGAAAGAAATTTAAAATGTAAGCTAGCCAACAAGTTGTGAAACTTTTTTTGCTTTGACAATTGATGTTTGACAATGGATTGAAATGTGCTTGGAGTTGGAGGGGCTTGCTTGGGGACCTCTTTTGAAATCTTTTTGTGGATTTGTTATATTGTATTTGTCTTGTGAACTTTGTTTATCTTCTAAGTTTGCATTTCACTATTTGATTTGGACATGTGCTTGTTATGTACTTATGTTTGTTTTGTGGAAATGTGTTTGCTATTTTAATCATGTGTTTGATTTGGATTTTGTGGAAATGCGTTTGCTATTTTAATTATGTGTTTGATTTGTAATTTTAGGGTGGAAACTAAGTTGGCAGAGGACTATTTTTCGATTTGCATATGTTTGATTTGTAAATGTCTTTGTGTACTTTATAATTTGAAATAAGAGTCTTTATCATGTCTTTGTTTTTTTAATCTTTGATTTGTAATTTTAAATTATTAATACTTTATAAACATTAAAAAATATATGTATTCAAATTATTCAATTACAAAAAATATGACTTCAATTCAAGTTAAAAAATGGGCCAAGGTGGAAGAATGGATGTAATTGGGCTAAACTGTCTAGGCCCATTTGAATAAGCCTGTCAAAGAAAAAAAAATGGGCCAAAGTGGAGGGTTTGAAGGAATTGGGCCGAACAAATCCAACCCATCTTAGTTAACCGGTTTAAAACTGGTTAACCGAATCGAATTTTCTATTCAGTTAGAAACTGGTTTATAATCAAAACATGATCGGTTTCGGTTCAATTTTTTTTAAACTGAAAACCGATTCGGTTCAAGATATGGGTAAACCGGTTCAGTTACCGGTTTTTTCCACCCCTAATTAAGTAATTATAAACATAGGTAATAATTTAAAGAACTTTGACAACTGTAGGGGGTTCAAAGATATTTCTGAAACTAGAGGGGGTTAATGTTATTAGGATATACCTGAGCAGGTTTAGGATGTTCCCAAATTTAAAGTGCAGAAGATAATGATGATATAAGTCCAAGAAATCAATCAACTTAAAAAGAGAGAGAGAGAGAGAGAGAGATTGGGCAACAGAGTATTGAATTGGATTGAAGCCAACAAAAAATTAAATAAAAAAATAATACAAAATATTTAAAAAATATATGAAAATGTTGGCCAATTGTTCAGATCAAGATAGTTTTAATTTTTTTTTTCCTAATATTCCATAGACTTATATTAGGGGTTTTTTTTTTTTCAATTATAAAATTATTTACATAAATCTTTTTCAGGGTTTAAATTTTTTAAATTATAATGTTTATTATTGTTGAATAAATTTAAATTTTAGCTTTTGTATGTATTTTTAAAGAATTTTTTATTTTTGGTAAAATTAAAAATAAGAAGAATACAAATATTAATAAAAATACATTAGGGATTAAATGATTAAGTAGAACATATATCAATGGGCAAAGTTTTAACTTTCATGATTCATAACAGTTAACACCTCTATTTAACAAAGTGGTAACTTTTGCACTTAAAGTTTAATTTGTGATTGTTTGTTGTAGCTAGTCAACTTTAGAAATAATTAAGTTTAAAAATAATTTATAAGGTGGTTGTTCTGTGAAATTTTAAAATTATTTTTTTATTTTAGGAGATGAAATATAACTAATACAAAAATCTTAAAATGAGTATTTTTAAATAATTTTTTCTATTATTAATCAAATTAAAAATTAACCCTTTTAAATAAAAAGTTAGCAATTTTAAAAATTGGAATCTGGCCGACGGAGCTACCAACCAGTCATTGCCGACGATGCTCGGCCATGGGGCCGAACTTTATTGGCCCGTTAAAGCAAAATATCTTCGTGGTTGAAAGCATCGCCGACATGGTTGCATAGATCGAATGGCAAAAGCAACGATATTGACAAGATCAACCCACTCACCATCGAGATGTTTTCTGGTGATGGTAATTGGCCACCACTGGTGTCCAGTAGCGGATCTAGAAATTGTTATTAGGGTGGGCCAAAATAAAATCTAATTACATGTTAATATTTTTGTCTATTAATATTTTTGTTAGGGTGGACCAAAATCTAAAAATTACAATATTAGTATTTTTTAAAATAAAATTGAGGGTGGGCCATGGTGGGCTGGATCTGCCCCTGCTGGTGTCGTCAGCCAATTTTAACTTTTTTGTTTGTTAATTTTTTATTACTGTATCTACTTTGTTTTAAATATTTTTGATAAAAAGATAAAAAGTTTAAGTTTACTTTAAGGTATTTTTGTAATTAACTCCCTAAAATAGCTTCTAAAATCTAAAAGCTAGAAAATACTGCTTTTGAAGTGCTCCACTAAAATTACTTTTAAAATATATTAAGGACGCATTTATACGAGAGTACTGAGCTAATATCATCTTATATTACTTGATTACTACGTTTGGTTATCAAGTAATATAAAATTCCGATAATCTTTCAATACTAATAGTAATTACTGTTGATAATATTAGAGGTAATCTGATAACCTCTATTTTTTTAGTTATTGTAAGATTACTTGATTATCTTTTTTTTTTTATTATAATTTTATCTCTCATTAATAAAAAATTTGGACAATAATACCCCTGTTTTAAAATTAATTTACATTAATCGAACATTACAATTTTACCCTTGTTTAATTAAGTTTTTGAACAATAATGCCATTATATTGAAAACAAATTACAAACTATCACCACCAGTACCTGTCACTGCCGAAAGTCGCCGAGAGGCTCTGATATGTCCTTTTCTGGCCATATTGATGGTAAAAAAGGGCAATTTTGGGCGAGATCCAGTCGTCAACGACTAGATCTATTTCGACCGGAATAGATCTGGCCCAAATATGATCGTTAAAGGCCATAGATCCATCGATTTGCTGTTTCTAGCCATTAATATGGCCAGAAACGACCACATCAGAGCCTGTTGACGACTCTGGGCTACTCTTGACGATTTTCGACGACTTTCGACGACTTCCAACAACGGATGGTGGTGGCTGACAATGGCTTGGGATGATGGGGGTGATTTTGTTATAAATTAAAGTTTTATATAAGTTGAGGTGTTTTAGCTAAATCTAAAATGTTGGGAGTTAAAAGTAATTATTCAAAAATTAATAATAAAAATAATATTATATTAATATTAAAAAAGAGGGCATTTTAATAATTTAAATAATATACTCACCAATTTATTTCTCCCAACCAAACATATTAATATAACATATCTACTAATTTATTCCAATTAACCAAACATATTTTCCTAAAGATTCCTAATAATTTATAAGGTAATCTAACTTTCCATTAATATAATATTTCCAATAATCCAACATTCTCTAAACCAAACACACCTTAAGAGTAATAACTTGCAGAACAAGTGATTATGGAAGATACTGTAACAACCCCAAACTCACCCTTAATTGGTCTACTTTTCCAAATTTGGTGGAATGTTTGCGAATGAAATCAATATCAAATAATTACCAAATGACGTTCCATATCAAGTGTCTTACAATCATAAGCTACAATTCCAAGTAGAAGATACAAATCCTTCATTGTGATGCAAACAATCTTCAATATAAGACATAGTTTCAGCATAAATTTCAAACCATTTCGAAATCAAAAACACATTCAAACATGTTTTATTTTCAGATGTTTCAGCTCTCAAACAGTAAAAAAGGGGCATCCCTTACTTTAAAATTCATAACAATTTCCACTTTATTTGTAAAATTATGAAAATTTTCGTATTAGAATAATAATAATAAGTTTGAAAAATGTAAACGTTCATGTCAAAGTGTATTCATAAAATTGACATACTTAATAGTAAAACTTTGAATATAATTGCTGGGATCCTAACTGCCTAATTTTTCACAATTCAAGTTTCACATCGAAATATTCATAGTTTAAATAACTGAAATTTTATGAACATACAATATCATACTCATGCAAAATTAGATGTTATCTACTCTCCAAAATAAAATCATATTCATTGCTGTGAATCATACACAGTACAATAAAATAAAGCTCATTGAACACGCAAACAAGTGAAAAAGACATAGCACGTACTTTGAGCGTCCTACTTCAACCAATTTCTTATTCCCATATAGAAGATATAATGGGGTTTTCTCTTAAGAGAACAATCTACATTCAAGTTTTGGTTTAGGAGAAAAATAATGTTAATAATACCACTCAATAAACACTCATGTGATCACCAAAACCACAACTGCAATGTCTCTAGAAAGGGGTTATAGCTCAGTCCATACATTGCAAGATCCAATTGGCTGATCACTAAGATAAGTAGAGAAGGTAATATTTGTGAACACTAGTGTTTGATGAAATGTCTGAGAAATGTGTGGTTACATGGACTACAGCATTTCAGGGTACTTCAAATCTGGGTTGATTGAAGAAGCAGGTAAATTGTCTGATAGGGTTGCTGCTCAGAAGAATGTGGTTACGTGGACAGCAATGATGAGTGAGTAAGTGAGATACAATCCGATTTTTTAAGTAGAGCAGTTGTCCAAATAAATGCTGATAAAAAATGTGGTTTCTTGGAAACCCATGATGGATGCGTACATCTAATTGGGGTTGATTGACAAGGCTTTGAGTTTGACAAAATGTCTAAGAAATGTACTGTCATGGTATTCTATAATTACAGCGCTGGAAAATTGTGGGAGAGTTGAAGAAACGCAAGGGTTGTGTCATGTAATACCTAAAAGAGATGTGATTTCTTGGACTGCAATGGTTGCCAGGTTGGTATTGATAGGATGCCAGAAAGGAAAGGAATCTAGTTTCATGGAATGCAGTGATTACTGGTCATGCACAGAATGTGACGCTCAATGAGACTTTCGAGTTGTTTAAGAAGATGCCAAAAAAGGGATTTACCCTCGTGGAACAAGATGATCAAAGGGTTTATTCAGAATGAGGAATTGACTAGGACAAGGGGACTCAAGCTACAAGAACTGTTCATGATTCCAGAGAAGACGAAGTTGTTATACAGCTTAGTAAATCAGTGAATGAAGAACACAGCTAAGCATAAACAGTATGTTAATTTCATGGGATGGGATAATAGATAAAGCAGCAGGAAGTACTGGGTTGCAGGCCCTAGCACTCAACTCAAGCAACTCAGTTTGGTTTCCAAACTCTTAACTAGCGAGAAACCAATTGGTTTCATTCAATGTTAAAACTGATCTTAATATGCATACAGCATCATAATATCCACCTATAACACAGATCCATAGAGATACAACAATTGGCTAAATATATCCAAAAAAAAAACTATACCTAATTGTTTATGTCAATAATTAATAACAAACTGAGAATAATTTATAGCTATACAATGTTGCCAAATAATATACAATAATCATACCTTCAGTAGTCAAGAATCTAAATATACCAAACCACATAGCTTTCTTCTGGAACTTGCTTAACATCAAGGCTTGATTTGAATCTGGGATTTGGAAAACAATCACGCAATATCTCTAGACAACATCCGTTGACTGAAACTTGAATTTGGATCTTCACGGTTCATATTCCACTCTTCTGGACATATTCTTAAGGTTTTCCTTTATGGTCTGCCAAGTTAAAATCGAGCAATTTAAAGGCATACATAAACCTAATAATTAAAGCAAAATTCTTTTAATTAATGGAAAAGGCGTTCAATTATCAAGCTTAATAGAAATATTAAACTTTTGAATAAGGATAGAGAGACAAAAACAAACCGAATTGAATGAAGAGAATGAATCAGCCAACGTGGAAAGGGCCGATATCCCCGGCTCTTAAAGAAGCAGCAACTTCATCAGCAACAGTCAAGCAAGAAGAAAGCCAGCCATTCAAAGCCCTCCACACCATCTTCGCCATCCAGACTGTCATCCCCAATGGCACTGCCATTTTTATTCTGATTGACCATTCCTCTTTACTCTTTCATCCCTCTTATTATTTCTCTCCTTCATTCATTTCAAGTGACTTGTTATTGTTACGGTGACTTTATTTTAGATATCCAATAAAATATTGCCACGATGCGTCGGGGACCCACCACTTCGGCTTCACTCTTGTTTTACGTAGCAAATTCCTGGTTGGTTGGTGTAGGGGCAAATAATTTCATGCTTGATCATCAGTGTAATTCACATTTAGCCTCTTTCGCGAAAACGCAACGGAAATTTTTTATGGAAATTTCCCATTCTTTTGATTACTTCCATCATCAATTTTTTAAGGAATGAAAATTGCTTAAACTCCATTCCTTATGAATGTGGGAATGGGATTCCTTCTTTAAATGAAACGAATCCTCATTCTATTCTTAATATTAATATTTGAATTACTGTTTTACCCCTTAACAATGTATTAGGGGTTTTTCTCGACCCTGAGGTTTGGGATAATATTAAACTTATCGAGGTTTGCCCAAATCCTCCATAAATCCTTTGGGGGCGTTTGGTTGGAGGTAACGTGGGATTAATGGAGTTATGTCATCTTATATTACTTGATTATTACGTTTGGTTGTCAAGTAATATAAGATTCCGGTAATCTTCAAATACCAATAGTAGTTACTGTTGGTAATATTGGAGGTAATCTGATTACCTCCATTTTCTTAGGTATTCTAAGATTACCAGAGTTATCTTTTTTTTGTTACAATTCTATCCCTTATTAATATAATTTTAGGACAATAATGCCCTTATTTTTAAATTTATTTACATGAATAAGGCTTTTACTATTTCACCCCAATTAATTAACTTTTTGGACAAAATTACCCTTGAATTCAAAACAAATGCAGCCCACCTAAGCCACCACCCCCACCCACCTGCCACCGACAACCACTATCGCGGCCAGCCGCTGCAACAGTCGGAACGGCGCACGGAAGGCTGAAAGTGGCCGTCGTGCGTTGATATGGCCATTTCCTGCCTTCCGTGCATCATTAGGTTGCCGGCGGCTTGTGGTGGTTGCCGGTAGTGGCTGGGTTGGTGGGGGTGCTTTGTTGATTTTCCAAACTTTTATTATGGGGTTGTTTTTGCTAAGTTTTTAAATGTAGGGGGGGTTTAATAATCCAAATAATAATCAATATTAAAAAATAATATAATAATAATATTTAATTAGAGGACAATTCAGTAATTTAAATAACATACCCAGCAATTTATTCCTCTCAACCAAACATATTAATATAACATACCCACCAATTAACCAAATATATTTTCCTAAAGATTCTCAGTAATCTTCAAGGTAATCTAACTTTCCAGTAATCCAACATTCCCTAAACCAAACGCTCCCTTTGTGGTATTAGTAATTACTCTCAATCCCATGTTGTCTTTTGTCAACCCCTAAAGTTTATTTAGTTAGTTTGGACATAATAAGGGTAAAAGAGAAAATGCACCAAATTTTTTTGTAATTATTACAGGTTGATATTTATACCCCCTAAAACTTGTAAAAATTAACTTATATCCCTCTCCTTTTCATAGATGGGGGTAGAAGCTTTGGAAATCCCATGTCCACATTAATTCATTGGGTATTGAATGAATCATATCAAAATATGATCTGATATATGCCTCCTTAAAAAAAAGACTTATCAACATAATCTATTAGGTTAAGTCTAGCCTTATTGATGGTCCCCATCACACTTTTATATGGGATTCTTTTATCTGCCACTCACTACAAGAGCATTTACCAGGTCTCTTCAGATCAACAAGGTGAATCTTACTGATCTCATGTACTTCAAACTCATCCTGCCCAGCAATATAAACCTTTAGTTTGCTGCCATGTCTAGCAGCTACAACCACTTTTCTCTCTGCAGCAGGGGTTAACTTACTAGTCCAAGTACTAGCCTTTTCTAGTCTAAGGTAAAGTCTATTCGTCACTTCTAATCTTATAAATTCAAGTAACTTCTCAATAGGATATTCCCTGACAATATTCAGGAGACCATTCCATGACTCCGACATGTTATTTGTAACACGGTCAGATTTGCATTCCTTTTCAAAGGCATGTTGATAGGAAATTCTATGAAAACAGTAAATCAAAGAGTCCCTACAATTCTAAGCACACCAACATAACAACTGAAATAATTCTAAGTAATATATTGTTATGAAAATAAGAACAAAGATGCAAGAACATTCAAAAGTAATTAAGCAATAAACATAGATACTAGCAGTTCGAGGAGCTAGCTGCGTCCCTCTTATATTCCCAAAAGAAACAACATACCCCTTTTTTTTATGGTTTTTGCCCCCTTGTATACACAAATGGTTGTCGCACTAGTATCCCCTTGGAGCCATGTGGATTATTCCTCTAACTAACTGTCATTTGTCAATCTATCCACTATGCCCCTTCATCCCTTCTTCTTGTAAATCTTGGTAATGGGTGGTCTATCATATGTCTACTCCAATGATGGGCAAGTATTTTGGATAAGTAGAGATAGATAGCCTCATTACTGTCTTTGATGCTATCCATTGCAGCTCTATAATCATATTCATTTGTTTCCCTTGAAGAAGCCCAAAACAAATTTCTGAACCTAAGCTAAGGAAACCTAGACTTAAAGTTGGCAAAAATATGCATTGCGCAACATCTAATGTTAGCACGAGGGAAATGAATGGACAAAGCAAAGAGTATACTTTTTGGCCTTTCAAACATGATGGTAAGCTTCCTAATCTCTTTTGAACTAATGTAATCATACAAATGTTCAAGGAATTGGGTTGGGCAATGGGCTACCTGTCAAGCCTTAGAAGCTTATCAGAACCTCTCCTTCTTGGCCTCTTGAGGGGCCCACTGGGCCTTGCTGCATGGGCTCAGAAGGTAAGGCCTGCTCTGATACCATTTGATAGAAATCCACTTCCAAATTGATAAGAATTGGGTTTGGCAGTGCACCACTTGTTAGGTCTTAGAAGCCTATCAGCAACTCTCCTTCATGCTCACTCGGAAGGCCTACTAGGCCCTACTACATGGGCTCAGAAGGCAGGGTCTGCTATAATACCATTTGATAAGAACCCACTCCCAAATTGATAGGAATTGGGCTAGACAATGGGTCACCTATCAGGTTTTAAAAGCCTTTCAACAACTCTCCTTCTCGCCCACTCGGGGGGCTCATTGGGCCCTGCGGTGTGGGCTCGGAAGGTAAGGCCTGCTCTAATACCATTTGATAAGAACTCACTCCCAAATTGATAGGAACTGGGTTGGACAATGGGCTGCCTATCAGGCCTTAGAAGCCTGTCAACAACTTTCATTCTCGCCCACTTAGGGGGCTCATTGGGCCCTTCTACGTGGGCTCGGAAGGTAAGGCCTGCTCTAATACCATTTGATAAGAACCCACTCCCAAATTGATAGGAATTGGGCTGGACAATGGGTCACCTATCATACTTTAGAACCTGTCAACAACTCTGTTTCTCGTTCACTTGGGGGCCCATTGGGCCCTGCTATGTGGGCTTAGAAGGTAGGGTCTGCTCTGATACCATTTGATAGGAACATTCCCAAATTGATAGGAATTGGGCTGGGCAGTTGTCCTTTTTGTGGGTTTGCGTAGAACTCTCCTTGAAAAACCGACTTACCAAAGGAAGGTGCCCAACTCCTTATAAACCACATGCTCGCCCCTTTTTGCTTTCCATATAGGATCCTAACACATACCCACTCATGTAATTGGCAATTCTGTCCGAGTCACTGCTTGTACTAATATAGTGATTAAAGTATTTGCTATCATCACTTTGATATACTCCTAGATAACCATCAAAACAAGTACCATGATCTAAATTCCTAATCTCCTCAATGAAGGTATGTCCATGAGTATCAGAATCATCAATAACAATGTTAGACATATCATCACAATCATGCCCATATTCAGAATCAAACACATCATCATTACTCAAAAACAACGTGTCATCATCACTCAATTGATATTGTGAATCATCATCCCCATTAAAATCATTCAAAAGTTATTTACCATGAGATTTTTTTATTTTGTCTACGACTGGTTTCACATTGTGTCTCTGTCTGTGCAAGTGATGTTAAGTTGAAATACTTAAGATAAAATGTAAGTTCCTTAACATTCAAACAATTGTCTTAGCTCTTTGTCATTGCATATATAGTAAAACCTCTCTATAGTCATAATGGTGGGACCAACTAATTTTATTACTATAAGGAGGTTATAACTTAATGGAGGTGTAGTTACAAAAATTATAGTTTTGACTTCTTATTTTTTAATTCATGTTTTAGTAGTACAGTATTAGGATTTCAATTCATGTTTTAGTAATATTAGGATTTCAATTCAGTCCTTCAATTGCCTACATTTGAAATGGATAGAAGACCGTGTCTTGGAACTAGCAAAGATAAGTGTCATTGATGGAACTATAAATACAATTGATGCATGGTCAATTGATGTGAAGCCACAGATAATTGCCAATGGTTTTAAGCATTGCAAAATTAGGACCCCCAATTTCGATGAATTGCAAGTTACAAATGAAGCGGACGAGGAAAATAAAAGATTCATTGCAAAATTCAGTGATCAGATTCGACAATTTCACTACACTAATTGAATGGATATTAATGTCTTCCTCGATCATCCAAATGAACAACAAATCATGTATACTTTAACTAAAGAAGAAATAATCGCTACAATTAGACAAGAAGATAAAGGAAATAATCCTAAGGATGATAGTACGGAAATACAAAAAGTTTCGTGCCATAAGCTCTAAACATGCTTGAGAAGCTAAAAATATTTTGGCTTCAACAAGAAGATGTTCATGCTAGCAAGTTATTACATACTAGCAAGGTAAAAGATGTGGTAACAACTATAAAATATAAATCATTGTCCCAAACAACTTTAGATAAATATTTTATTTCATTTTAAACATTTAATGTAACATAACATATATTTTTTGGTAATATATAGATAATTATTACTATGTGGAGGCAACTTTCCTTAAGACGGGAATTAGAAAAATTATAACTTATTACAATGTGAAGTTTATTCTTATTTAT